CTGGGGGCCAGAGGCAGACAAGAAGGAGAAATAGAAACCAAGTACAAGATAGATGGGAGGGAGAGAAGAGAACGTGGAAGAGGAAGAATAGAATCCTGAAAGGAGGTGAACAGAGGGGGGGGAGGGGGGAGAAGAAAGGAGAGAGAGAGAGAGAGAAAGAGAGAGAGAGAGAGAGAGGGAACAAAAGGTGGGCACTCTGTCTGGTCCAACCAGGAGGCTCTGGGTGCAGGAAAGACAGGGAAGCTGACCCTTGTTCAAAGACCCTGACCCCTGAGCCTCCCTAGTTGGAAGGAACTGAGCTCTTGAGCAAGCTGCGGTGGGGGTGGGGGGTGAATGACAAGCTCCAGGAAGACCAAGCCTCCAGGTCAGCACAGAAGACCTCCACTGGACTGAGAAGCCAGTGTGGGAGAGTCCGGCTTTGGGGGAGCACAGGACTGCTTGTGTGGGGAGGGGGTGCTGGCTGCGAGCTAGGTTCCCCCCCAGGGGGCTGCTGCCCTGGCATCCTTGGTGAGAGGGAATCGCATCCCCTGTGGGTAACTGAGCACCAAGGAGAACGGGAGGGAGCCCTGGTCAGTTTCAACGTGTATCCTTATCCCACGAGCCAGGATCGGAGGCGACCAGGAAGCCCCTTCTCAGTAAAAGTTTATGCAGTGACCGGCCCCCTAGGCACCTTCGTAATGAGGCCTCCGAGCCCTGGAGAAACGCGGGCGTCCCTCTGTCCGCAGTCCCGCCGCAGCTCCCCCTCGGGCTGGGAGAAGCTGCAGGGGTGAAAGTTGAAGAGGGAATAAGCGTGTAATCGTCCTCGCCAGACCTCACACGCGCTGAAGGGAATATTTACAGCAAACTTGCCAAAGTAAACGACCCCGCCTCCCCACCGTCCCTTCCCTCGCCTCCCCCCTTTTTGGTAAACTTCAAGATAAACACCCCTCGGTCACAAAAGGGTCGGCCTGTCCCCTCTACAGTGGGAGGCAGTAGGGGAAGGTGAGAGCCGGCAGACGCGTCCCCGGCCTCGTGTGGGCAAGACTAGATCGCTGCCGCCTCCCAGGCCTGGGCCGACAGCCGTGGATGTGATTGCGCGTGGGTTTGATTGCGCGCGTGTGTTCAGACGACATTTATTCCGAGGCTTCTCTGCCTCTCCCCCATTTGAGCATCTGCACTCAACCCTATTCCTACACGGTAAACGCTGCGGGCATGACCAGATATGCAAAGGTTATTGTTATTACTAAAAACCAGGCCTACGAGCAAGGGAAAATTTCTTCTTGCCAAAGGCGGAGGACTATTGGAGGACACCAGCCGCTCCTGGGGGCCTCTTGGACCCACACTTTGCCCCCATTCTCCTGCCCTAAAGGCACCACTTCGCAGACTCTGCGGAGGGCTGGCTCAGTCCACGTTTCCCCTGTGTCTTTTGTGGAGCAAGGAGGCGAGGAGAGAGAGAAGATAGAGGGAAAGAGGGAAGAAAAAAAAAGGACCGTGCCGGGCCCGCGCCTGGAGCCTAAAGCCCGGGCTGGGGGGCGCCAGCCCTGTGGGTTCCCCTGGCGGCCGGGCCTGGCACAGGTCCTCGGCCGCGCTGGCCTGTGTTTAGCTCGAGTGCGGCGGCCACCAGGCCGCTTTTGTTTGTTTGCAAATTAATCACCAGCGCACGGCCGGCGCCAGAGCGGGTTTATCACCCACCGGGAGGGGGGCGCGGCGGCCCCGGGAGACAAAGAGGAGTTCGCACCTTCCCGCTTTTGATCCCGAGTCGCCGTGGCCTCCCCGCAGAATACGAGCCTCCCGGGGCGAGTCTGGGAGGTCAGTCATAATTGGCGGAAGTTTGCAGACCATTAGCAAGATGTCGACGTTTTCGATTCAGAACCCCTCCAACGTTCTTCCTCACCCCCTTCCTCGCGCGCTAGCGTAGGACTCGGGGGTCAGGCGTGGCAACGGGGTGACCCCAGGGTTAAGTTAGAGCTCTGGGCAAAGACAGGCCTTCGGGGGAGGGGCCGCGCGAGGGGCAGAAGTGACGTTGGGTCGGCGTTGGGGCCGAAGGCAAGTGGAGATATTTACAAGTGAAATCAGCGAGCTCCCCTCCCACGGCCGAAGCAGAGGGGGAGCCAGGCTGTCTCCAGGTCCGAGTGACTGTCTCCCTCCGCCTCCTCTGGACTCAGAGTCACAGCCTGGTGGCAGGATGACTTTTTTCCTACTCGGAGCGCGGATGCAGGCCAAACCCGTTCAGGGGGTTTGGGGCGGCTCCTGAGTGCGCAGGGAAGGTGCCCCCCGGCTCTGGTGGCGAGCAATTCGGAGGGGGTGGGATCCCAAAGCCTGCAGGGCTCAGTGGTTAGCGCAGGCAGGGGGAGGCCTAGCCGCTGGGGATGCCGGAGGGGTCGTTGCAAGTGAACACCCTGGGCCCGCCGCCTCTTTTCTTGTCTCTGGATCTGCCTTCTGAACCGCCGGGCAGAGAGAGGCGGAAAGGACGCCAGAGAAAGACGGAAAGGAAAAGAAAGGGGGCGAGATGGCGCACCAGACTGAGTCCGCAGACCCACTCCATTCTCTCTGTGACTGAGGGAACTCCCCGGGCTGGCGCCAAGCGCTCTCAACTATGTGCATCAAACACGTGGCGCTGGAACAGCTCCTGCCCCCAAGGGCCGCCGACCTGGCGACCTGGCGTGGGTGGCCCACAAAGGAACGGCGTTTCCCCCTCCACTTGCTCCCACTTGGGAGTCTGGAGGTGGGGGACTAGGGGGTACGCAAGGCAAAATGGAAAAGAAGACGGTGGGGTCCACTCAGAAACACGCACATTTCTGACCCCCCCTAGGCCCTGAAATCAGCCCTTTCTCCGTTCCCTTCCTCACTCAGGGAAGCTCTCAACTCGGGGAGAGTAAAACAACAGTGTCCCCAGACTTCCCTCCAAGCAGGAGGGTGGGGGGGGGGCAACTCAGGGCACCCCCAGAAGCGAGGAATGTGGTTTAGGGAATCCTCTGCCCCGGGCAGGGGCCTGCGGTCACAGTTGGTCACAGTTGGCAATTCGGTGACAAGTTTGAGTTGTCAGGTCGGTTGCCTTTCCTCCCCTGCACGCCCCCACCGTCCCTGAACTGGAACCAGGCTCTGGCCTCTGAGGTGGGGGCGTTTCACGGTTTGTTTTACAAATTCACCCCTGACTACTGGCGAGATAAGTCCCGGGTGGAGAAAGAACGGAGGCACCCAGAGATAAGTGCGATGCCTGGAGAAGATACGGGCTGGCGCACCTCCCCCTCCCGCCCGCCCGCCCCTGGCCCCCAGCTCCGCTGCGAGCTGGCCTCCGACAGGCCCTGAACCTGGGCCGGCGCCGCGCTCCCGGTGCCCAGATCTCCGGTCTCCCCTCTACACTCACACACGCTTTCAGGTGGAACACGAGGAGCCCGAATCCAGACCGAAGACCGAATCTGAAAGGGCTGCTGAATGCAATTCACAAAACCCCCAGTCGCCTCCCCGAGTGAGCGCAGGCAGGGCCCGCGGCGCAGGCTGTGTACGTGTTTGCGGGTACGTGTTTTTCTGCTGGGGGCTCGGTCCCGGGGTGCTGGCGCGTGTTCGCCTACTGATGTGCCGGGGGTGTTTGGGTCGCCGCACCCGGGTTCGGGTCGGGTACCGTACGGTGAGGAGGGAGCCCCGGCACGCGTGTGCCGAGATCTGGCTGCATCCGAGTGCCCGTGAGTCTTCGATCCCAGATGCCGGGGAGACCGGCAAAGAGACACCCGAGCTCGGGAGCCCTGGCGCGGCGGCCGGGCGGAGCTTGGC